TGAAATGGCAAACTGAACTGAGTGTAAATTAAGTAACAGCAAGATCAACTCCGAAAAACGTATTGCCCCATTGAAACCACATGTCTAAAAAAACACCTTTTAGATGTAACAAAACTTCCAAACCAAGCGTTCTTAGTTTTTGCCTGTGGTTAGGCGTTGCCAGAATGGAGTACAACACTTTTTCTGGTAATCAATTCCGGTCAGATTTTTAATTGATCTAAAGAACTTTTCACACTAGAAGGTGGAATAAACCTTGACAAGGGTGTAGCGCTCAATTAAAAAAGAGTTTCCTGCTAGTCGCACCGGGCACATTATAGCTATGTCAGAAAAAGCTTTTCTAAAGTTCAAAATGTCATTTCTTATAATTTCAGGCAGAAATCTTTTCCCGAAGTGTTTATATTTTACTCTTGTTTCGTGGATGATTTAGAATCGCGCGATAGCACGGTTCAACAAAATCTGGTCGTATTTAATCTCAAAAAAACGGCGCCCATCTCATCTTATAGATTTTTTGAAGTGCATTTACAAAATAAAGTTTGTTTTTAAACCGTGCCTTTCTTGTAGTCGAATTTCAAATTGTGGTGTTTTTTCTTTGAAAATCGGCTTAATTCATAACAGTTGGAGTGGTCTTGAATGTTCGGTAGATTTTGTGTTGGCATTTTGGTAAAAAAAATATTTTTGATGCGGCAACACTGGTGCCCATCCCAAAATAATGAAAACGAGAACAACAGAAAATACTTAAGATAAATAATACAAAGAAACAGAGAAATTCAAAAATTAATATTTAATACTTACTCGGCCATTTTTGCGCTGTTGCCTCTACTGATCCGCTTTTACTTAGCAAATATCGTCTTTTTTGTATGTACTTAGTAAGCAATCCAAATCGTAAATTTGCACGTCTCCGGAATGAACCTAAAAACGAAATCAAGTCTTTTCTAAGCACGCCGAAAGAGGATTCTTCTATGTGCGCGCACTTTTATTTTTTGGATCCCCATTTCATAAAAACTTCATAGTTCGCCGCTTTTTTGTTTATTCACTTTTGTTCTTGTTGTTGCGCTGCCGCTGCGACGCGGCTATATCAGCGGTGTGAATCAAATGGGCAAATACGCGCTGCGCTGCGATGCGACGCCCCACACTAATACAAACCGGCGCACAGCAGACAACAACAAAAGTTATAGTAACTCAACAAATACAAGGGGCAAAAAAAAAAACAACACAACGAACTGTATAGCAAAATTAAGCACAAAAAGCAGACAAATTTAAGGTATTTGCGACCTTTACGTCAAGCGATTTCAACTGCACTTCTTTATTTCGTTTATTTCTTATACGCCGAGTCTGAATTACTTTTTGTTTTTGTGCAATGTATTTATGTGTATCTTATTTTTTACCTCTTTTCTGTAATTTTATCTACACTGCGGCAATGCAAATAAGCCACAATAATATTTTCACTGTGCGTCAAGCTACAAATATTTGCTTAGCGTCCGATAAGAAAGAGCAAACCAACGCGTCTCGCGGCCAAAGTTGAACTGAATCGGCGCAAATGGCTGCGGCGAAGTTTTAGTAGCAGACAATTTTTGGCCGGTTTGGTGGTGAAAAGTTTTTTAGCTACGAAGTTTTAGTAGTAGAAAAAAGTAGAGACAATTTTTTTCTGGACAAAATTAAATATTTATTCTATTTTTCTTTCGTTTTTTTAGTTGAAGTTGACTAACAAATAAATTTAATAAAAACTATTTTGTAACATTTTTTAAGTCTAAATTATATTGGCAATATGCAAGCCCAAATCAATTTTACTAAATATATAAAAATTGTTAGCAAATTATCTTAAACTTAGAAAACTTTAAACCTAAAATTCGAAATTTTGACAATTTATTCAGAGTTAAAATTTTTGTTATATTTTTTTATATAATACAGCAATTTAACAAAACTTATATTACCATTAATATTTTTAATTGTCAATATTTCAATTCCAGATTGAGTTTTATTAAATTACTGGACTTCGAGCTTGTCAAAAATTTTTCATAACTTAAAAATCAAAGGCAAAAAACTATAAACAAAATATACATACATATATGTACATACATGTATATGAATCCAGTAACTTCAAAATGTTGAAAATGTTCTTCATAGACATTTGACAGCTCAGCAAAAGTTTCGCACTTTTAAAGGTTTGCGAGGCTTTTTCAAGTTTACTGAACTATTAAATATTTTACTTAATTTAAAATCCATTATTATTAGTTTTATTTAAATTTACTTTTCATATTCGTATAGAATTTTTACGAATCTTTTATGCTTAAAACTACTAAAAAAATAGAATTTTGGACTTCGTTAATTTTAAATTAGACTTTTTTTATAATATATATTTGCACTTCAAAAATGTGTGTTTAAAGGGCAGATAAGTTCAAAACCTACTTGAGAAAATGGCCCTATGGGGTTTTACCGAGATACATATTTTTGGTTGGCTTTGTTATTTTGCTTGGAAATTTTTGCAAATTTAAAAGAAAATTTATTTATGTTAATAAAGCATTGTCGCGAAAGAGTTTAAGTGAAAAATTATTATTTTTGTCAGTTTCCATATGAAATTTAAATAAAAAAATAATTTTTACTTAAAGTAGTTTTGTTGGGCATTTGTAATAAACATTTATTTGACTTTTTTACCTAGTTTTTTGAATCTTCTTCTGAATTTGATGTTTAGTTATTTAATCCTAATTAGTTTTCAAGTTTTAAATACAATCAACCCCTGAATGTAAAATATTAAATGTTAATTTAATTATATTTTTAGATTCCATAAAAAATTTAGCTTATCTTTTACTCCATTTTCGCATTTGAAGTTTTACCTACATAAATCTTGCTAATTTGTATTGAATAAGTTCATACAGCAGGAAATTCCAAATACATTTTGTTTTGCTACAAATGTACATATTTTTCTATTATTTTATATCTCTTCTGTACGTTGTAAGAATTTTATGTTCACCAACTACTAAAAGCTGCAACACTGCTCTTTCATATGTGGATATAAAAATATTGCATACGTTTAGGCGTCTGCTAAAACCATCTGTTAATTCTGGCAGTTGTCGTATAGCCGTTAAATTCAAACAAGCTTAATTATTTGCCAAAAGCATAAGCTATGTTGTTTTATTTTCCCAGAAGAACCTACCAATAGAATAATTTAATATTACACTCGGAAAGAGATAAATAAAGAATAATCGGGAGAGAATAAAAATAGTCTTAGCCATTTTCTTCAAATATTTTGCTAAAATTTAAATACAAAATTTTGCGTGTTTAAAGCAAATCAAAACTCCATATGAATCAGTAAGATTCGATGTAAATTAAAAGAATTCGTATTATTTCGGCCTTAAAGAAATTTCGGCGCCTCTTTTGCACTTACCAAATTTGCCTTACATTGAATATAAACGGGAAGAAATAAATCTAGATATGTATGTATGTATTTTTAATTTTTCTTGATTTCTAAATCGATATATGAGTTTTCACAAAAATTAGACTTACCAACTTTTCACTCTTAGCTAGCGATATGCATAAACATAAGCTAAAGCCGTAACGTACTCTTTGCATTATTTTATTATGCTGGAGGTGATACTTGCAGAGCCTTAATCGCTGCCTGGCTATCTGGGAAGATAGCAATGCTGGTTCCTGCTTTGACGGCAAAAACTTCTGCCTAAAAACCACTTGCCGAATTCGATAGTCGTGTAGACTTTTCAATTTGGAGGTCGGCTAAAAAAATAATCGCCCCTACGCCACAAAAAAATATATGCTTCGAAGCCGTCAGTCAAAACAGAATATTTTCATTCCTTCCTTGATAAAAATATTATGTCGAAGTTTTTCTTGAAGAGAAGCGAAGGACAGATGTAGTCAGATTTCTGACGAACGTTCTTGTATAAAGCGATTATTAGGTGGCATACGACAGATGGCTCTCAGAGCTTCCGTTGCCATAATTAGGCGGATCACCGTGTAAGAATGACTCCCAAATACTTATATAGCAAAAGAGGAAATATAATGAGTATGTCTGTTGAAGGAAGGTAGGTTTAAGTTAGAAATCTTTCGTTTTGTAGTTAATAATAGTATTCCTACCATTTTAGCTAAAAAAAAAAAAAAATTATACCTCCAAAAAACAGAAAAATTTACAGTAAACTGGTTTTCTATACAAAATTAAGTAAGTTTACGAGGTTACCAGTTACGGTTTACGGATTCAAAAAATTTATCAATAGAAGAAAATTTCTGGGTGTTTTTATATAAATTTTTTGTTTTTCTTAAGAAAAATAATTTTAATGGTTACAGTAGAAAATGGTTTATTCTGTTTCACATAAATTTTATCTAGCCATTTCGGTGGTTATATAGAATTTTAATATACTTTTGCTTGAACCTTAAAAATAAGTATAATGTTCTACGTACAAAATAAAAAAAAGTTTGAAAAATTCAACTTATTTTAAATCGCAAAAATTTTACAAAATTGTTTATTTCTACCAACTATAAGTCAGCGGGTTTTGGAATTTATATGAATAAGTTTAATTTTTTTAATTTATTTAAATTTATTCAAAACCTGGAAATGGCCTTTAAAAATCGTCTTTATTTTGTTTATAAAATGAGATAAAGGGGGGATACTAAATTTAGACGGTGATATTTTAATTACCACCCTACTGTTTAAGCAAAAACGCAACCTCTTTGGTCTGTCCATAATAAGATATTTATTACTCAATAAATTGCACAATATACATTTTTTTGTGTACTTAAACTAAATATTCAAATAATTACGTACACATATACACATATACATACATATTGCATTTTTTTTTAAATTATTGGGAACTTAAAAATTTTATTGTATGTACATATGCACACTAAAAGTGACTAAAATGCTTGGAGCTAACGCTAGAAACAGAAGTCAAGTGTACAAGCATATGCATTTTTCAAAATATTCGTAAACTTTTTATCTTAAAATTTTCCTCAAATATATTGGTTTGCTTTTCATGACGTACTATATATTAAGATTTTTTTTTTTTTAAATAATATTTCCTGAAAAACATCGCTTACCCGGTCTACGTGCAACAAAAAAATCTTATAATAAAATGTGTGTTTTTTCACAAAATTCTGTACTTACTTAACTAAAGTAGAATATTTGTATAATTTTTTTTTATATTCTTTCTTAAAAATATACATAGATATACGCACATATATTTTTATTTTGTGTATAGGCTTGCAAGTATCTTATTTCCCTTTCTCGTCTAACAATGACTTGTACTAGTTGTTGTTTTTAATAATTATTTATATAGAAAATGACGCAGACAGCGTCGCGTTTGATCGAAAAAAATTGATTAAAAAATAAAATTTTAAACTAAAATGCTAATTTGTTTTGCTGTGGTGAGGTGAATTTGCGGCTAAAGCGAGTGTTGTTGGAACAATACGTTCGCCCTAAATCATCGCACTGCCTACGCTTATAGCCACACCAGAAAGCCCCAAATGGCTAGCGCCAGCGCAAGTCCGATGGTCAGGCCGAAAAGCAAACCGCATATGACAAAGATAAAGAGAAAGAGTACCGCGAAGCCAGCATAGTGTATGATATTGAAACTGCGAGGTGAACAAGAAAAAAATAGAGAGGGAGAGAGAGAGAGAGAGAGAGAAATTAATTATAATAAATAGTATAAATTTCTTTGTTCAAAATTTCATACTAACACTGTCCAATACATGTGATGCCATTCTGTGGTCTCTGCCGCCTCCTTGAAGTAGAAACGGCGCACACCGATCAAGCAACGATCTATGAACTCAGACCAATCGCACTGACTAGAATCGAAGTTGTAACGTTTTTTATCGCTCTCATGCATTAGTGACATTATGCGTAAAGCATTTTTGAGTGAATAGCGAAAATCTTTGTCTAGGAAGTAGTCGAACGCTTTGGTACCCTTGTGGAAGACGCGCATGTACTCGAGAGCGCTAAACACAGAAAAAAAGGGAGAAAAAACACAACAAAATATTGGCAAATATATTCAACTCTCTCCACCGCTTCACACTTACGTATGCTGTGGCATGCCAACGCCGAATAGTTTTTCCGGTACACCGTAAGCAATCGCAGGTAGTATGTGAAACAGATAGAAGAAGAGATTATAGCGCCAGCCATTACGCAATTTTGTATGCGGTTTCCAGACGAAATTATTCGGTGGATGCCGTTTCACGCTTTCGTTCATAATGACGCAGAATTCACTGAGTGTCAGCGGATTTAACTCGCCCGATGTGCAGTGTATCACTTCGGGTTGTTCGATGGGATGTGTGCCCACATACCAGCCCATAACTAGGGAAGAACTGATCACAAAATCGCAAGGAATGATATCGATGACAGATGCTGCGCGACCGCACATCGTGCGAAAGAGGCCCTTAACGAAACCGGCCAAGTAGCCAAGGTGACCGGAATTGGCATTGCCAACCCAACCCTTCATCGGGTGCTCCCAGGTGCCGTAAACTGTGAAAATGAAAGAAATGTGAAGAGTATTAGTAAATGTAGTTGATTTCATTGCGGTAAATTTAACACTGTTGGTAACATAATCAGTCCAATTCTGAATACTCCCAGGGAGTTTGTTCTCCGGGAATTTGTTTCTCCCGAGAAAGAAATCCTCCAATAATTAACTCCCGGGGAGTAGCATTTTCCTCCCCGAAAATTTGGGAGGAGAAAATTCGAACTTCGCAAAAGGTGTTTAGACACTTTTTTGATAGCTCAATTAAGCCATTTAATATAAAAGATTCTCAGTGAATTTGTATTCATAATAGGAGGAAGGGGAAAAGAGAGAATACTCCCAGGGAGTTTCTGTTCAGAATCGGCCTGAATAATGCATGCCCGATATGCCTTTAGTAGCTGTGAGCGTACAGAAAGAATCTACTATTTTCTAAGCCAGCAGGGTATGGAAGTCAACTATGATAACCATAGTGACTAATTTCGATAAATGCTCTGATTAGCGTATCGTTCAATTACAAATGACAAAAGGGTGCCCACAAGGAGGGGTGTTATCTCCTCTACTGTGGAGCTTAGTAGTGGACGAACTCTTACAGATATTCACCGCTGTCAAGGGTACGCGGACGATATAGTGATTACCGCCAAAGGGAAATTCGCAAGTACCCCCTGCGACCTTGTCCAAAGAGAACTCAATTTAGCAAAAAGCCATCTAAGATAGCTATTGTCCCGTTTACGAAGAAAAAGGGATAAGGAACTTGCTCTTGCAGGGGGCCGCGGCTGGCGTCGCCACACAAGTGAAGTATCTGGAAGTATCTGGGACTTATCCTGGATTCCGAATTCGTGTGGAGGGCTCATATTGAGACGGCCACCTCTAAGGCTACGAGAGTGTAAAGGCCGGCCCACATAGAACTTTCGCGTTTGCTTTGGCGTTGGCGTTGGTTTGACAGAACGCACGTTAAAAGTATGCTTGCTACAATGAACGCTTGGCAGCGAATCCTTGGGCCACTAAATTAACATATTAACGACAGATAAATTAATATTTCATATCAATAATTGCATTAAAAACGATATTTCTTGCCCGCACTTGATTAAAAAGGAAAAATATTTCACATAATTTTATTTATTTGCAACAGCTGACGAGCGACGCACGCGAAAAGTTGAGAGTTGGCCATCTTTTTGCTTTGTGTTGGCGTGAGCGTTGTCGAATTTTGGCTATGTGGACGGCTGCATTTGAATTCATGTATTCATAGTGAGCTGTTGAAGCGACGCCAATGCCAACGCAACGCCAAAGTTCTATGTGGACGGGCCTTAAGAGTCTAGCGCTCAAATCTTAGGGTAGCACTCCAAGGAATCTTAAAATGGATGTATACCATGATAGTACGACTAATAGTAACTTATGTAGTGGTGGCTGGGGCTTCTAGAACTACTCTGGCAAGATTCAACGTCTGGCGTGTGTTTGCATTATTGGGGGGGGGGGGGGGGGGGCAATGCACACAGATGGCCGTAACACTCCTGAGGGGATTGGAGCAGGCAGTTACGGGCCGTTGTAGGTTAAGAGGTCACTCGTACAATCTAGGAATCTGGTCAACTTTTGTAACGCTGCCAAGGAGAGAAAATTCCTCCTCCTTCTGGAGTGTGTAGCTGTTTCCCGCAGACGGGAGAGGAGCAGAGGGCTGCCATGGCCATGAAATTTATAGAGTCTCTGGGGCTGGCTGAGGTGCTGTGGGGAGTTGAGGGCACAATAGACCTACTGGCCGCAGTGCTTCATTCATTTAATTTATATATCTATCAAGGGTGTCGACTAAGAAATAATATAAACAGAAATACGTACATAGGGGTTTTGAAATTGTTATTAAATATTTATCGATAAATACTTCCAAAAAAAAATGGTATCGATAAGCATATGGATAAATAAAAAGAAATTCTATCAATAAAAGTATCGATGCAAATTTATAAGGTGATCATCGATAAAAATGGCGATACATTTATGGGTATTGTCTCGATAAACGTATCACAAATTATATCGATAAATGTTCATGAAAAGTTCCATGACGGTATCGATAACACCCATTTCGGGCCGCGTACATAAGATAAAGAAAGTGGAGAGATTTATAAAATTTTTTTATCAAAGTTTCGGTAGCGAGATTTTAGTTGATGTTTCGATAGAGATATTGATAAACGTATATATAGAATTGATCTGGGTAAACATCGAAAATTAAAGACCGATTTACGGTAAACGTTCATAAAAATATCGAAAAATATATCGATAAAATTAAGTTTTTCACGATACAGTGAGAATATCGATTCTTATGAAAATTAATTTCAGTGCGCTTTTAAAACAAAATCTTAACCCATTTTCTACGAACTTTATTCCAATCCACTTACCAATCGATGGCCTCACAATGGCCGCCGGCAAGCCAGGCATTTCCGCTATTAGTAAGTTCTCCGATAGATTCTTTGTGAATGTATATGTATTGGGATGATCGCGTATAATCTCTTTACATTTCTCATCTGTGAAATCTTCCCAATAAGCATCATCTTCAGCGATTTTCATCATTTCATATGGATCAAATTGTGACTTGTAGACCTCTTCAACAATCAGTCCACGATTGTTGCTATTACAAAATGCAGTTGAAAAATAAACATAGGCAGAGAGATTTTTCAATTTTTTTGCCAATTCAATGGTGCGCATTGTGCCAGTCAAATTTGTTTTGATAGCTGTACGTAGTGGAGAGCTGAATTTAATTGTAGCTGCGCTGTGATAGATCACATTCACCTTGTCGATGAGTTCGTTGAGCACCACCTCGCTGAAGCCGAAATTCACTTCACTCAACTCGCCGACGACGGGCACCACTTTGGCTAGCGTTTTCTCATTGAACTTTTGGAAGATCTGTTGTTAAAGAGAGTAAAAAAAGAATTATATACCACATACTTTGTAATGTTAATATATAAAAATAAAGATGTGAACTAATAAAAAAAACAAAAAAAAATATTTGAATAAAAAAAAATCAGCGAAATCAGCTGAAAAGAAAATAAATATTATTTTTTCCTTAGTCTTTATAATATTTTTCATTCTTACAGTCAAGTTTTCACCTTCATTTTATAATTATCTTGTCAATCCGCGAGTGTCCGTATTTAGATAAAGCTATTCTAAAGACCAGGGCTTTCCTTCATTTGGACCCGCCGGAAATATTAAAAAGGGGAATCAAAACACTACTTCACCGGTATCAAGGTCGCCGGGCTCGCCAATGAGCTGTAGTTATGCGAAATAATTATATCTGAATGAAATAGGAAGCGCAAAACTGACAGACAAGTACGGCAGGTAACAGACGGGTTAGATCCTTCATCCTGGGCATATTAAAAAGGACATTCGAAAAACTTCGTCAGCGGTATCATGGTCATCGGGTTAAAGCCGCTTATGAATAAATCTTGGGTTTTGCGAGGACGTTGCCCACAGGCTGGGTAGCTGTTCGCCACTTCTGAGTTTAGCCGTTGTGCTAGGGTGCCCTTAGTCTTTCTTGGCAGTTCTGCTTCCTAAAAAATGATGGACGGCGGTCAGCATATTGTTGTCTTTGCTGGTGCTAATGCTCTTCTAACAGCATCGCTGTGTACTTTGTTGAACACCACTTTGTACCCTGCCTCACAAACGGGAGGTCTAAGAATGGCTCGATACTCGTATGTCTGATCTTTAGCTGTTGACAGATAAGAAAGTCTTCAGCCTTCGGCATGTTACTTGTTGCAAGTGGCGGAGGTATGCGCTAAGCAAAGGCCATCAAACATGCTGATTTTGCTTATGTTCGCTGAGGAGTTACCAAAAAGTTATGCCTAGATTTTAAATTAAAAAATTGTATGTTTGCAGATTGTCAAAAATGTGTGTCCAATTTCGAAATGACTAAAAAATTATGTCTTGTTTTGAAACAACCAAAAATTTATGTAAAGGTTTTGTATTAAAAAGATTTATGTATATCCAATTTTTAAATGACCAAAAAATTATTCGAATTAAAAATGAGCAGAAATTGATGACCGCATTGTAACTTTCCAAAAAAAAAAAAAAAAAAAATATATCCCATTCTGAAATGCCCAGAAAATTATATAGTTTAAAAATAACCAGAAATTTAAGTCCTGTGCGTGAATTACCAAAATTTATGTATAATTTTTTAATCACCAAAAATGCACTCCCACTTTGTATGTTATCAAAAATGTATATCCAGTTTTGAAATCTCCAGAAAATTTTTGAAACAACCAAAAAGTAGTGTAAAAGTTATAATTTAAAAAATTTCTATCCAATTTTAAAATGACCGAGAAATTATTTCTAGTTTCTGGATAACCCAAAACTGAGGTGCGCTTGGTCAGTTTCCAAAAAATAATGGCCATTTCTGAAAATTATGTACAGTTTTAAAATAACCGGAAATTGATGTGCACTTCGCAAATTACTAAAATTTATGTCTAATTTTTGAATCACCAAAAACTTATGTCAGTATTAAAATGCTCAAAAATTTATGTTCCGTTTGTAAGTTTCGAAAAAGTTATGCCTAATTTTTAAATTACCAAAAATGTATGCCCACAAAATTTATATCCAGTTAAACACCAAACAACCAAAAATTTATGAAAAGTTTTCAATTTAAAAAATTTATATCCAATTTTTAAATATTAAAAAAATTATTTCTAGTGTTAAGATAACCAGAATTGTAAATTTTTAAGAAAAGTGATGACCAATTCTGAAACGTCCAGCAAATTATACACAGTTTTAAAATAACCAGGTATTGAAATACAGTGCGCAAATTATCAAAATTTATATCCACTACTTTTAAAGAACCAAAAATTTATGTCCAGTAAGTAAATTACTCAAAATGTATCTTACACGACGAGAAATTTATGTAGCGTTTTTATGTGACCACAAATTTGTGTTCAGTTTATCAATCACCAAAAATGTACGCCCAATTATTGAATGAAAATTTATGTCGATTTTACAAATTACCAAACGTGTATAACCAATCTTTATAATACCAAAAAAATATGTCCTCTTTTCAAACTGCAAAATCTATCTATTTACACATTCTCTGGTCTGGTTTTCTACATACATTCAAAAGTTGGTATGAATTATTTTTATTCCAATTGAGTTGATTTGTGTAGCTCAATAACTAACTACTGGCTTAAATAGCATTTCAAACTATTTTGAGAAAAAAAAAACAGAGCATATATGTAGAGTGTTGTTTTTAAGAATTGTGCGGACATTTTTGCTCTTAGACAGATTTCTATTTACAGGAGAAATCGCAACTTCCTAGTTTAATGTTTCAACTCTTAACCTGGTACGCACTTAAAATGAAAGACTTCAGCGGCAAACTTGTTATTAAACGAAAAGTGAATTGCTCGAAATTAACTAAAGCGCACAAAATTCACTTCGACGTATCGTACTTATGTATACACGATGTATATGTCAAAACTATAATTACAAGCAAAGGTAATTCACATTTTCACTCATGCATTACAAACTCACTTAATTGAGGAGCGACAACTCCCAAAAGGTATAACCAAAACCACAACTTTTCATCACCCAAGCGTAACCGCCTACGAGATATTACTCAGACAAGCGACTTTCAATGAATTGCATGCGACATTTGTCCGAAAAGGGCGGATGTGCACAAATAGGCTTAGTAAATTATGATGAAATGATACAAGGAAGTGAAAATAAAATCATAAAAGCTAAAATTAGCGCAAAAATACCGAGCACACAATGCAAAGATGAAGACAATAGAAAAACAAGAGACTCGCAAGGCATGCGTCACGGAAAAGTGATTTATTTTCGTCACATTTCGCTTTCATTGTCTTCATCTCTTTTCTATGGTGACACCACCCACACGCACTCGGAAGTCACTGACCGTTGTCCGCTAGTGTGCATGCGCATGCGCGACACGTCAAATGCGCTGAAAGCACAAAGCAGCCGGTAATAGTAAAATAAAATAAAAAAATGTGGAAGAATAATAGGTACATTTGTAGCAAAATAATTGCGCATTTAATGACACACGAAGTGCGATTTTAGTTGTTAATTAATGCGACTACATATGTTTTGTATGCTTATTGCTATTGTTTCGTTTTCTGTTACAAATGCAATAAATTTAAATGTAATTGCGCGTTGTATTCATAAAGTCAAATTTTGCAGCTTACAAGTCATAAAGAGCCAAGCGACAGCCGCATAGTGGCTGTGAGGAATGGGAAAAATAAAATTATGAATAATTAAAAAAAAATATGAAAAATGAGCGCTGAAATGAAACTGCTATTTAATAGCTAAAAATTACCGCAATCCACTTACATTTTTGGTGCTTGAACACCGTAGCTGTTTATGCTAAAAAAAATGCGTACATCTTCGTTAAGCTTGTGAATACCTTCCGACTACACACTCAGCGTGGCGTGCCTCATCTGCTTCACATGTCAACTTGATATGAACATAAATTGGGTCAGCCTCAAGCGAACTGTGAAATGTATTTTTTGCTTGATGTGCCTTTTGAGAAAGCTTCTTTTTTTGTTAACTTAACGCTTAGTGATCTTATACATTTAGATTAATTGTTACTTGAGAAAGCAGGCCTGAATATATTATTTCATTCATATTCTGTTTATATAATTTTTAAAAATTTTTTTATAGAAAGATGGCTATTTTTTAAGTTTTTATATCCCAAAAGGCTTCAGTCTTCCTTCTACCCGCTAAGCCGATAAATTCCCATAGACAATTCCCCCGTGTAGTACTTTCATATGGCCGCAAGACCTTTAACGGGCAGGATCTGCCTCTTCGAGAAGTATGCAAATTTTGATTATGAGCAACTGGTGTTATTTGCTAGAGGTCGATCAGCCTTCGCGAGCAATGACGAACTTCCTGTGCTGAGGAGTTCTACCGCGGTCTTTCATTTCTTCTTTCCCAATTTTCGGGCTACCCAATTGACTAACTTTAGTGTATAGCCGGCAGTCCTTATGGAATAGGCTATAAAATAAAGAACCCTGCATGCTTTTGGACACAGCGAGCAAAGCCTTTTACTGACTATACACCGCCATCGACGGCACCGAAAGAACATACTTGAATCACTTTCAAATTTTAGTAAAGAGTAAAGTAAAGGGGGTTCTTAACCCACTGTTCTCCAGTACCACGCGAAATTAGCGTCCATAAAAACTCTAGATATTCGGTAACTGATTTACTTCGAGACATACCACTCTTGTCCAGACCTGAATATCTTTCGTTATCGTTAGTATTTCATTCCGCGAGCTTAGGATAGGTTAGGTTAGATTAGAGAGCCGCCTCCGTGGGTGGAGGCACACTTAGACAATTATTTAGGCTGTTCATTATGGTGCCCTTAAGAATGGTAGGGGTGGCGGTAGGAAGACTCAGGAAGGTCTGAAGGATTAGGAGGAGCGTAGAAGCAGAGGGCGAAGGAGCAGGAGGACGATGACGCAGGTCATCGGGAGTGTGGAAGTAATGCGATCCGAGGGGTTTGAAACTTAGGTTTCGAAGACAGGGCAGCAGGTGTTGAGATCATTTCACCTCATATCCTCCATGCAGCTGCTAAAGTAAGGGTCATCGATGATATTCAACCTCACTGCATGCTTACCTGTCACGCAATGATCATTTAGAACTGCCACCAGGGACCAGAGGTTCTGACTGTGTTAGTCTCAAGAGCTCCCGGGATCGGCTCCGGTCTACAAGTGACCAGAAGGATTTAGCTACCTTGCATTCCAGGGTAATCGACCAGTGCTCGCTGAGCTGATTAAACGCCCCTTTGGGCAGAAGTAGATCACATGAGATCAGGGGAGCACCCTAAACTTAAGAACATTGGAAATACATACATACATGTACCAGAGATCATATAGCTAGACCATCAGCATAAGCTGTCTGCTGTAATTTGATGCGGCTTTTACTCTACCGCAATTAACCTTTAAAAGAAAACAAAGTATGAAACAGCTAACGCTTTGAGCAGACCCGCTGTAATGCTGATTTTAAAGGAAGTCAATAAGGAAAGTCTGTTGGAAAAATAATTCAAAATTAATTTGCCAAAGTGGTTGACTCTCCTTTTTACTATGGGACCTACATACGATAGAGGCGAACCCTGACGGGAACAAGTGGATTCCCTAAATTCCAATTATATTCGAGTAGACTTTAAACAAAAAAAAAAAATTAAAATACTACCGAGGACGACTTTAAGTAGTTCATAACCCTTTGCCTGTGTTCGAATTCTTTGTGACAATTATACTTTTTTTTGGGAATAAACCATACATTTTGTTATATGAAAAAATAACTCGTTCATTGCTCAATAATTTTTTATAAAAATTACCCTAACGCCTGGTTTCCACTGGAAATTTAATATATATATGTACACTTGCAATTTTTTAATGGAAGAAATTTTTATCCATTTGTATCTTATCAATACCTATTTGGAAATTAGGCCTAACTATTTTTTTCTCTTTAATTTTCTCACTTACCGGCTTCTGCAGCAAACGACTGATACGCTCATTGGGATCAAACTTGCGCTTTCCTCTGACTAGTACATAGATGGTGCCAATATCGGGATGTGTATCCAAGAGCTCCTCAATTAGCACCGTGCCGAGAAAGCCAGTGCCACCGGTTATGAAAATATTTTTATGTGCGAAAAATTCCGGCACAGTGCCGATATTCTTCAGATTCTTCTCATTCTGCTCCTTCAGCGATAACTCCTCAGTGCTGCTGCCATGCTCGCTGATGACAGCCATCGCGTAATTAAGATTTGTTGGCGGCGCCAATGTGAATGTTTACCAAGAGGCGGAACGAAAAAACTGCGACGATTGTTGAACGTCACTGTGACGAATGTTAGAAAATATGAGTGAAGAGATGGACGTACAAAAAGTAGGCGCTGAAAAGAGGTAAGTGGAAAAATATACATAGTTAAAATGATAAGAAAATTACGTTTTCACAAAAATTTAAACATTACAAAAAACAAAAATAAAATTAAATACATATATAAAAAATATAAGCAAATTAAACCACTTAAAAATTTACCAAAAATTAAACAATTAAAAAATAAATAAAAAAAAATAAAAAAAATATGCATACACATGTACATATGTATATTTTTTATAATTTGAAAAATTCGCAAAAAAAAATAAAATAAAATAAAACTTTTTTTTTTTAATAATAAAAAGTACGCAAATGTTGGAAAAAGTTGATGACTAAGGGCCGTTTTCTCAAGTAACCTCTAACTTTAAAGCTCACTTTATATTTAAAGGTTGCATTAAAATTTATGATTTATGTCTAAAGTAAAGCATTTTATTATCGGTCTTAAATCGGTTTACAACCATGTTATATGCATACGTCAAAAACCGATAATAGAAATGCTTAACTTTAGGCATAGCTTTATTTGTAATCCAACCATTAAATAAAAAGTGAGCTTTAAAGTTAATGGTTACTTCAGAAAACGGCCCTAAGTGATAAAAAAACTTATTGGTTATGAAAACGCATATTACAAAAATATGCAAAATATTTATTTTCTGCATGCACATGCACATATTTACGCGTTCGTATGTGTCTATGACTCACGTTGAATGCATTTTTTAAATTTTATTTTTGTTTTTCTCGCGCAATTAAGAAGCAAAAAATATGCAAAGGGAATTTCTTGCATTTTTCGTGACTGTTTACAAAAAAGCCGTGCTACAAAACAAAAACAAATATTTTTTTGTAAAATACCAACAACATTTGCACTTGACCACTGTCGGTGTCGACGAAAGCGCTAACGTTAGCGATAACAGTAGCCACGGCCAGAGCTACAGGCAGAGCGACAACTATATATATGTATATACATATGTATGTACATAGGTCTTTGGCTTGACGCGGCGCGGCGCGGCGCGTCTGCAACTTGTCGTTAGCTAGCCTTGAGCGCATGCGTCTAAACAGCAGCACCCAACCCTGGCCTTGGTGCGTGCGTTCAAATTAGTAGCGCGAGAGTAAATCGGTTTTTTCTGCTTCTGCTTCTTCTTCCTTATTTTTTTTTTTTTTGTTTGTGCTGTTAATTGTTTGGAGGGTTATTGCTGTCCATAGAGTTTTTTATATCTTGTAAATTTTTTTTTTTTATTATTTTCAGTTTACATATTTTTTAATAACATCTTTGCTTTAGCTGCGAGCACGTTTGTTTATTACCGTTAAATGCTGCATCGACGCAAAACTGGTTGTACAGGGTCAAGGTTATTTGTTTGTATAAGAACTGGCTTTGACTTTGAATTTGATTTGAACTTGGGTTTGGGTTGTCTTTTTTATTGTTTAAGAACAAATTCTTGAAAATTATAAATTTTTAATTAACACAGTCAATGATTTATTAGCGCATTTGTATTTGTTTTATTGCTTTAGAAGTATTAGCAGTGTTACGTGTTACTTTTGAAACCAGTTCTTAGCTTTATTTCATAGCTCACTTTAACTTAGAATGCTCTTTGTTCTCATTACATTTAATCTTTGTCAATCCGATGCGCGTGCGCGTCACAGAACAACAGCTTGCAGTTCAGCTTTTTGGCAAATAAAAATACGTACATATTTGAATAACCCTATCCAACTGACTGCCGAATACTGCGTATTTTTTTAGTTCTTCCGTAAGTAAATTTTAAAATTCCCAGCATCTGTTTTAACAGAATTTCAATCTGCTGCGCAGTACTCAACTCTTGTGCAGCTTCTCAACTTCTATACTTTGCTATAAAGGTTTTTGCGTATGCACTCACATAAGTATAGCATCCTATAAATACCTACATCCATACATATAATCAATGAATGAATTCGTGAGATTCGTATTTTTCGGCATTTAAAATGAATATCCAATTCTGTTTTATTTATTTTATCCGTTGAACCGGTATTTGTGTTAAGGTCAATTTGGCTTATTTCTTATGAAGCTGCGCATTGTTAAATCGATGATAAAATTCGAATGCTTGTAATAACAATACATGTGTACATTAGGGTGGCCCTTAAAAATATCAAAATCATGGGGCAACACTTTATTTTGTTCTACGTATAAAATGAAGAGCTCCACTTACAAAATGAATACATCCCCGAAAATTTCACAATTAAAAAAAAAAAAAATATTTACATATTTAAATTTTTTTTTTAATTGCAAAAACACGACAAAACTTTGCGCAGCTATAATTCAGCGAGTTTATGAATAAATAAGTCTCAATAATATGCCAAATATATGAGATCTCAAGTCAAAATTTCGTAGAATTTTTGCGATCTAAAAAAAATAAATTTTTTCAAACCCATAACTTTTTTTTTAAACTTAAATATTTGTACGTGGAATGAAATAAAGGGCGCCCCAGACAAAATTTATATTTCGTAATTTTAAGGACTACCCTAATATACATACATATGCACTATCATAACTGCGTCACCATAACCGGAACTAGTAAGTGTATGCCGCTTCGAGGCGGTCATAAAATGACGTTTTGTGCCAAAAGTTATTACAAAATAGTTTAAAAGTACCTGGCCATTTGGAAAGGAGCGGGCTGCTACAAACGTTTAAAACTTGCAGAAGTGCTTCCATATCGCACACCGTCTTCAAAAGAGGCACAACTCAAAATTTGGCATTTTTAAAATTATGCGTTAAAAATATACACAGAGCTTTTATTTACCTTTCAGCAAAAGCTGGAGAAAATGTTTGTTATATATTTTTTTTTTATTTTCGCCCAAAAAAATGCATGCGAAAAAGTAAAGTCGGAATTTTTATGCTCTCAGCCTCTGGGATTGTTCTATACCGAGAAAAATACACCCTTATTTTTTTATTTTGAAATCAAAAAATATTTAGAGGTCGCTCAAAGCGCTCAAAGTATCCCATGTATTTTATAAAAAAACAACAACCGGAAAACTCTGTTTCTCTTCAGGAGATTCCCAATAATAATAATCAATTCTTTTTTTAACAATTTTTTCGTAGTAACTTTATTTTATAGGTCCGCGAAAACTCCTAGAAAATGCCTGAAAATGCAATAGGGGATAAATAAAATATCTTTAGTTTTGAAAAATTGTTAAATAAACAATTGGCTATTGTTATAGGAAGTCTCCTGAAGAGAACCAGAGATTTCCGATCGAAAAATATCGACTTTCAAGAATTCCATACTAATGCCACGAAAAGTTTTTTTTTCCCCATATAAAATACATGGAAAACTTTGAGTGCTTTGAGCGACCCCTAAAAATTTTCCCATTCTTGAAAAATACTAAATCTTATTTAATTTTTAAGTTTTTAATTTTAAGTTTTTTCCAATGCTTGCAACTTTTTGGCATGCGAGAGATCCCATCAGTAGCTTCTAAAAAAGACGTCGTAGCACATTTTAAAACCGGCGAGAGTTGATAACTCATATTTTCTTCTTCTTCTAATGTCCGCCTCAAATCACACGCTCATAATTCAAAATAAGTCATGAGCTCATCTCTTTAACACCCACGTTGTAACTTAGCAAGAATCGCATTAAATATACGTATATTTCAAATCTCATCATTCGACGTAAGAAAAACTCTAACCAGGCTAAGCCCATTTCGTGATTGCTTTCTTTTAGACCTAAATTGTTTACAGACAAAAAAAAATACAAAAACAACACTTCGACCACCTAAGTTCGAATTCAGTCATAATAAGCCAACTTTGTTACCATTAAGCGCTAAGCCATAGCTTTTATAAACTCCCTTTGCAAAGCAAATAACCCATGCGTACCGCACACACCCACCAGCGAGTTCGTTGCTTAAGTCTTTCGATTAGTTAGCTGCATTGTAGAGCGTCCACAACTATGTATGGCTGTATTTAATTTATTATGGGCGTACACGCTTTGAAAACTGGATAGTTTTGTAAATATTGACATTTTTGTTGACGAAAGGAAAAAAGCCGTAACTAACAAAAAATTCAAAATTCACTTTTTTATTGATTGTGATGAATTTCATCGAATTACAAGTGCACACATCGTTGTATGCTTTTTTTATTTTGTTAGTTAACCGTTTTTGTATTTAAGCTGCCGATATGTATGTATGTAAGTAGATACCTTTGTATGTGTGTGGCTACTTATCGTTTATGCAAAGAACAATGACCCGTTTTGTGTGAGAAGCGAATAGCTTAGTTGAAGGGCCTTGAGGCGGAAGTGTTTTACTTATTTATGTATTGATAAAATTTACTGACAAAGATTGTTACCATCACATATGTATGTACATACATAGCTTACGGCGTTGGAGCAATATTTTATTATATAAACAATAAAGAACCGGTTTTATTTGCAAGACAGAATCTTTCAGAAGGTATCTAAAGCACAAATTGTATGTAATTTTAAGTTCTTTCTAGATTTTGCACATTTTAAAAATTAACACCTGCTTAATAAATCGCAAATTTTTATGAAAACTTAGTTAGTATAAAGCTCTTTAAATGTACATACATATGTATATAATAATTTTATGACTGTTGCCACGCAAAGTTTAGGCATAGTTTAATATGCAAATTTATATTATTCGGGATTGCTAAAATCTGCCAAAAGAGTTTAGTATATTTAGCATACAATCAATCGCAAATATACATACATATTTATGCACGCAAAATTAGTTAGCGCCAAAGTGTGCGTTTCGCATTTTTATGCAAATTCGATCTTAATTTGTGTATGGAATGGATGTTATCGGATTAAACTTTCTGTTAGTTATTTATTATAATTTTTCAATATACTATTAAATATATGTGCAAGCTTTATTTTTGCTGATGTAAATTTATGTGCCTATTTGTGTTGCTTGTAGATGGAAAAACCTCAAATGAGACATATGTTTCAAGGACAGTTGCTGCGTTGCATAAGTATTCACAGCTTTAAATGAATTGGTGCATATACTTCAGTCATGGAGGATGACATTAAAAAAAAAATAAAAAAA